GATGCAATTTATTGAGAGAAAAATTGTATTAAGGTTCCAATTAAGAGAATTAAATGCAAAAAAGTGTCTTCAAATTATCAAATTAATATGAAGTCCAAGAAACTTCATTGTACGAAATTTCACTTTTTTAATTACTAAACTGTCATCATCTTTTTTGTTTTTAAATATGTATTGACAATTGAAACGGTAGTCGTTGACGATTTAAGGTGAAACGATTAACAACTATCAGGGCAGATATTAACAACACATTTTCTTAGTACATCACAAAGATTTTATGCATGGGTTATTAATACCTATTACGATAGTTATTAATTGTTATACCTTAAGTTGTTAATGATTGCTCTTTCAGTTGTCAATGCACACTTAAAAAAAAAGAGAGCAATTTAATAATTGAACAAATAGAATCTCTTGCAATAAGGTTCCTTGAGACTTTAGATTAATTTGATAATTTTAAGAAACTTTTTTACATTTAATTCTTTTAGGTGGGGTTCTAGTACAATTTTTCCTTTATTGAGTCATGTTTAAATGTATAGGTTCCTCGTTGACATAAAATCCTGAACAAATAATATCGTTGGCCAATTATGAATTGAAATCCTGTGCACTACTTTTTTTTTGTTGGGGGGGGGGTAATAATTTACACAGAAGCAAAATCTGCGCTTTACGTCATTCGTTGGTTTTTTTTTTGTTTTTTTTATTTTTTACCATTCTTAATATTTTATAAACTTACAATGTTACCAAATACATTATTGTGCATTGTCTATTATACAGAGACAGAAACAAATATGCATAAAAGATAAAAAGAACGACCATTGTACCATCTTCAAAATATTTAGAGATTTCTGGGTGCACAAATTTCTGTAGACAAGACTAATCATAGAAAGATAAGCTTGTTTTGCGTAGTTGGATTTGGTTTTTTGGTGAGTTATTAGAAGATCTCAGGTTGGCTTCCCCTTTTGTTTTTTAATAATTTCTGAGGTCATCTTTCTTACCTTGGGGAAAAAAGGTAAGCTTCGTCTTGGTGCTCATAACTCGTCATTTATCAATATCAAATTTAAAATATTTAAACTATTCACTAATGGTAAAAAAAAAAAAAAGGTTCACTGGAAATAAAAAAATAAGGGAATTTACTTAATCAAGGATCAGATTACGCAGATAATTTTAAGCTTTGAATTTCATTTTCAAATTTTGTTTACAATTTGCCTCTTGGCACACCAAAAATCATAGAAAAACACTGCTGCTCGGATATCTTTTGCAAATTGGAGAAAATATGTACTACTTCCTCTCCTTAATATAAGAGTTACTACTTCCAATCCTAAATATAAAAGTTAGCTGGAGATTCAATTTGATCCTAAATATAAAATCCTAATATATTTTGTCTCCTATATTTATTTATTATTCTTCAAATTAGTCCTCATGGTGATTACGTGTGTTAAAAAGTTCTTATTCTAATGCACAATAAAGGTATTTTAGTGAAAATACTCATTTATTACAAATAATTAATTTAATTACTTTTCTTAATAATTACAAATTAGTTATCTAACTTTTATATTAAGGATCCGAGGTAGTAGTTGGAATTAGATTTGGTTGTGAATATAACACATCAATCCATTTTGACCTCAGATTTGTAATTCATTCTATAAAGTATCCCTATTGATTACTCATATCAAGGAATTTTTATCCAAAAGTAGTCATAATTAAAAAATGATACTTTAAAAAAATCAACTCATCATAGTTATTATAAATAACTAATTTAATTAATTTTTTAAATCTATTTAAATTAGTTAAGTAAGGAATAATGTGTGTATATAATTTTTCTTAAATTTCTCATCCGTAAACTTCCAAATTTGTGCATGGTAAAAAACAAAAATTCCAAATTTTTGTTGGTATATAAAAGTTTAGATTAATTAGATTTTGAAAATTCATAAAGACTAGGGTACGCGTTTAGGCCAAGAAAACACTTGTCAAAGTAATAAATTATTAGACCAATTTTTATGGGCAAAAAAGTTGTAATTGAGAGAAAAGTTTTGTGAAAACATTTTTTTTTTCCTGTTATTGAATATAATACTTGTTATTTTTCTTATTTGGGTTGAATGCAAAATACGAGCATTTAATATTCTCATTTGGGTTGAATGTAAAATACGACCATTTATTATTTTCAAGGAAGACATTATTTCATCAATGCATTTATACACAGTTAAAAATGGAAATTGTTTTTCTTTTTTTAATTTTTGTGTGTGTGAAAGGAATCTCCATCTTTTGTTCCTTTTATAGAGTATCCAAAATTTTTATTGTTGATCAGAAATTCAAAGGGAAACAAACATAAATCTGAAAAAGCACATTTCATAATTAAATATACTAATTAGCTCTGTATTCACTTATACCATATCTATTTCATTTATTACTGGCAATAAATGTTAAATATTTCCTAAAAAAATCAGAAATAATAATGATATTATAATTTATGTATTCAGAAATGCTTATGATGTGATACAATATTCATTGGTTAACTGTATCTTAGTTTCACAGCAATAGTTACATGACTAATAGCAATAAACATAAAATAAGAACCAAATGCATAATTGATGGTCTGTAATACTATGCATATAAAAACATGGATAAATAAAAATCATGGTTCTTTTAAAAAATTTATTACACAAATTTTTGTAAAATTGCATATGATTCCTATATTTATTCGTCTGTTTTCTTCTTCAGCGTCATAAAAAGTTTCAGTACTCGTGCATTGACTGGATGAAGATGATAAAAGTCTAGCTTTCAAAAATATAGATAGTATTTTGAGCCAAAAAAAAAAGGTACTATCTCCTGTCCTAAATATAAAAACTAGTTGACTAATTTGAGTAGATTAAAGAAATAAGTTAAATTAGTTATTCGTAATAAATATGTGTTATTTTTCCTAAAATATCCTTAATAATCAAGTTTATTGGTTAAAACTACCATTATAAGAATTACCTGGTAAAAAATAGATAAACATAAGAGACAAAGAGGATTGGGATTTTATATTTAGGATTAAAATAAAAACCAAACGAGATCTTATATAAGGACCAGAGGTAGTATCATTTATTGGATAAGAATCTTGTGAGCTTTGTGTCTTTTTATGAAGAGGTAAGTTACTAACATTGTTAAGATATCTTTCATGATAAATAAACGAATAAAATTTATTCAAAGATATTTTTATTCAAAGCATCTCAAACTATTAACTCATTTTTCTTTAATACGTTTGTGTTCTAACTTGATATCAAATTATCATCAACTACGTTATGAAATAATCCTTATAGATTTGGATAAGCTACTTTACTTAGAATACAAGTATCATTTGAAAAAAGAAAATTGTCTAAACCTACCTATAAATGGTAGGAGTTGAGTTATAATCTAGACACATACATATATATACTCCTCTGATCCTAAATATAAGACCCTTATAAGACTCTTATACTAATATGTATAAGGATCTTATATTTAGGACCGAAAAATTATGTATATATTACAAAAATGTGGAATCAAAGCAGGTGATAAAGTGGTTAAAAGACATGGAAATAAGGTATTGTTTCCAAAATTTGTTCTAGACAAGATATGATTAAGGTTTTATTTTGTTGGGTATTATCGAAGATTTCTAGAAATAAGATCACATAAAACACTAGGCATCTACTCTTCAAAAAGCACTAAAAAGATATCTTATCTATCAGACTAAGAATCTTGTTAATTTTAAAAGAGAAACGGTTAATGAGATTTTCACTTGTATTAAGACTTGCTAGCTTGACCATACAACTTATAAAACCTCTGATAGAAAGATATTTTTATGTGATATATATATCTCCAATTAATTGTTTTCTTTTTAATTACTTTTACAAGTGCTTATATGATACTCCCTCTGTTGTTATTGTTTTTCTTAATAAAATAAAATATCTTTAGAAGATTTTAGTATTCCTGTTTATAAATTGCTTTTCATAATTTAAACAGTAATCAATATGTTCTTTTTAAAAAATACTCCTCTGGTGAGAGTAGATGTGAGAGAAAAGAGTATTTAATAAACAATGTTTTTGAAAAAAATGTGATAACTTTATAGATAATAACTAATTTTGTTGATTTATGTAAAATAGATATATTGTAAATAGCAAGTTACCTAATGGTAGCGCCGTCCGTCACTTAAGTGAGACCTTAGACTCGAATCTAACATTAACATATTTGTGTGTGTATATGTTTAAATTATATAAAATAAAAAGTGTAAAATAAATATGTTGCTCTAATTAAATTTATTGTCACATACCCGTATGACAACACAGATAAGCAAATACAAATCTCTCCACTTTACAGACAATAATCTATTAGTTCAATATTCTAATTACAGATAGTTTTCTCACCAGGAGCCAACTCACCCCAATGAATTCCTTCCCATTAATTGTAACTTTTTAGTCAAAGTATACATTTAGTCCTTTAACTTTGTATAAGATTTCAATTTGGTCTCTTAACTTTAAAAAGCATACATTTGGCTCTTTAACTCTAAAATTATTAGGCTTGAATGATGATTTTTTTTGTAAGAATCATGAATTTTTTTTAAATTAAACTTAATATATTAGCATTTGAGAATGTTTTATCAACATTTAAGATCTTAATGTTATCATTTTAAAAAAAAAATTTTAAGGTTAAAAAACTAAAAGTATACTTTTTAAAGTTAAAGAATCAAATTAAAACCTTGTACAAAGTTAAAAAACCAAATGTATACTTTAGCCTAACTTTTTAAAACTTGAGAATTAAAGTTCGGATTTTCTATATCTTGCATTTATGGCAAAATATTGTAACCTCAGAATTTATTGAGAACCCTTTCATTTACAGGACACAGAATTCATCACAAAATGTTGTCCTAACATCCTGCCCACCCATCCCCCCCCCCCCCCCAATTCATCTATATAAAGCACATACTGTGAACCACACAACCATCTCAATTTCCCCACTGCTCCCTCTGGTTTTCTCCTCTGATCACCACCATGACCAGAAGGAAGGTGAAGCTTGCATTCATTGTCAATGAATCTGCAAGGAAGACAACATACAGGAAGAGAAAGAATGGTATGGTGAAGAAGGCAAACGAACTTGCCACCCTTTGTGGGGTTGAGGCATGTATGATAATTTACAGTCCTTATGATACTGAGCCTGAGGTTTGGCCTTCCTCCATGGGAGTCCAAAGCACACTGGTGAGGTTCAGACAGATGCCAGAGATGGAGCAGTGCAAGAAGATGATGAACCAAATGAGCTTCACAAGGGAAAGGATCCAGAAAATCAGTGAGCAGGTGAAGAAGATGAGGAGGAACAATAGGGAGAAGGAGCTGGCCCAGATCATGTATCACTACTTGAGCAGTGGGATTTTTCTGCAGAATATGACTATGAATGATCTCCATGATCTGTCATGGCTGATTGGGCAGAACCTGAGGGATATCAGTAGGAGGATGGAGGCACTGGAGATGGAGCCTCAGAATGAAGTCCAGATCCAAAGTCAGGGACAAGAACAAGCCGGAGAAGATAACAACAATGGAAAGGGAATTATGGAGATGAATATAAGCACATTGCAGAGACAGCAAAATTTTATGGAATTGATGAACTGTGCGGGGGATGAGACACTTCCATTTGGAGAGGCCAATCTCTGTAATGCTTGGTCTAGCCCCTTTTACTTTTGAAAAACATCCTCAGGCAATTTCTGAGTAGACTAGCCAACTAATAATTTGATGAGGAGTTGATTATGAATAGATATGTAAATGTGTCAAAACCTTGACTTATTTACATTTCTATTCACAATTTACCTAATCTATGAAAGTTCTTTTCTAGATTAGATCTATTTACAGGTTTTTCTCTCATGTTTGTTTTCAATAATGCTCTTTTCTTTATATTTCCGTCGCTGCAGTAATAAAGCTTCATGGTCTAGTCTACCCATTTAAATTTCTGATTTATGCTGTTTCAGAGTTGTAAATCTGCATCTTCAGTGGTGCTGGTTAGTTGAAATCAACAAACTCTATTGGCTTAGTTCACCTCTCTCTCTCTCTCTCTCTAAGCGCGCACACAAACAGGAACAGCTGCAACAATGCTGGTTCAGATGTATTATGTATGAATATAGGGAAAGTGGAATCATGGATAAAAGGAAAAACATTTTATACCAGGCTCATAATGTAGAAGTATCAATACCAAAAAGAATTGTCAAATTTCAATTGAATGAATCGATTTGTATATATTGGATGTTTGTATGCTTTTACATTGTGTTTTGTTTCTATTGTTTTATACAAAGAGAATGGAATGAATGAAATCTCAAAGAATCTATCAATTATCATCGGTCAATTAGAAGGGCTTCTCAAGGTACTTCTTATTTTGACCTGTTGCTGCTGCCACAAATATATTCCTTGTTTGTCCTGTCAACTATCTATTATTTGGATTCAATAATAAAGAGCAGCAGAGTTTCTATCAAATTTCAAGATAACTAATAGCTTAAGTACGGGTCTTATTTATGTTATTGTTTGGAGATCCCCAAATGGCATGCCAGCAATGTCATTTCAATTTCTCTAGCACTAGTCTCAATTGCAATTCCTCCAATTTTAAACTGCTTGTTCAAAGACTTAAGACATCAGTGCATGTGGAATTCCTAGCAACTTTACTTTGGGTTTCTCCAAAGATAATACAACAGGAATACCACCTTCAATGCCATGACCTTTCCTCAAGGGGTGTCTTACCAATTATCAGATATACTAACAATAGCAATATATGCAAAAGTATAGCATCACCAAGAAAAACTTTGCTGTCATGTTGGCTTTTAGTTTCTTTCATAATAACAGCCATGTTGAACATCAAATATTGATATTCCATGTAACATGAAACGTGTGCCAAGAGGACAATTTTGTTTAGACTATGGATCTAGAAACTCATCTATATTATATTGGTCTTTCAAAGATTCTTGATGACAAATGAGTGCCAACCTTTGTGTGTGCCTAAACTTCTGTGTAAGCATGGGAATACCAATTTCCCCTATAGGACCTCAAGGAACAATAAGATTTAATCGGGAACATTGACAGATTGTGGCGGAGTCCAAATAAAAAAAAGAGTCCACATGTGAGAAAAGGCAAGACATTGGATTACCCTAAGGATACATAAGCGTTAGTACATATAACGGAGAAAGGAAAAGATAAGAAGCATGTTAAAATGCCTAAGTAATTACAATACGTGGTTTAACGTATTACAAATAATGGATCACTACTTGAGATAATGGATCACTAGTGGACTCTCTTAGTTCCGCCGCAATTTGTATTCTTGTTGGATCAGCCCCGGCACCAGCTCCTATAGCAGATAGAACCTTCAATCTCCTACGTACATGTGCAGCAAGAAGGGCCACCTATTACAATAAACAAATCAACCAATTGAGAGAGCTCATAATTTTTATGTATTTGTATCAGAATGATTGCCAATGACAACTTGAAAAGGGAAAGATGAGCGAAAGGTAGTGAAATGTTATTGGGTTTCATCCTTCCAGGAAGCCAAACCATATTGATACATGCTCATGTACCCAAAACGAATCAATGATAAAGCAAAAACTGCTTTTACGTTATAAAGTTCCAAACTTGCAGCAAAGCAGTAAATCCATCAGACTGAAGTATGTCTATGATGTATGAAAAATATTTCTTAAAAAGGGAGAATGCTAGCACACACCAATATGGTAAAATAATGTGTAATTCAACAGAAGATATTGTCAATGCAATCCAAAACAAAATCAGGGTGGCCTGAGACAATTTCTGCAGTAGACGCATCATATAATAGAACTTTTACATTTATTTGGCACTCAGGAAAGAAAGATAAGAAATGTTCCTTGAGGGACTGAACTTTTGAGATGCCATCATCTGCTCTTGTTGCAACAGCGTGTTGATTTAGAGAAGAAAGAGCAACTTTCTCATTTAATGAATAAATGAGCACGTCATTGTATCAAAATATCTCTAAAGATTCAAATACAACAAAAAATGGAATCAAATTTACAACTCCTTCCTAATTTATTACATGTTTCTCTGGAAAAGGAAAGAAAAAGCTAGATCACCGTGAAAAAGCCTTACCCTCGTGTTAGCTTTTATTTTCTTTTCATGATGCCACTCATGCTAAACATCAATTATTGGCATTCCAATTAACATGAAAAGTAAACCAAGCGGACAATCTTGTCTAGATTACCCATGAATCTAGGAGCTGATCCATAATATATTGGTCTTCTAAAGATTCTAGCTGCCAAAAGAATTACAACCTTTGGGCGTGCATGAACTTTTGTCTAAGCCTTTTGTTGAGTATATAATTGCATGTGAGAGCAGGCAAGACGTTGGTTTACTCTTAGGATACGTATGTCTTAGTGCATACAACTAAGAAAGGGGGGGGAAAAAAAGTAAGCATGTTAAATTCTAACGGCTTAGTTCAACCTCTCTCTCTCTCTCTATATATATATACACATATCACATTACTCCTATCATAGATACTACATAGATTTCATTGATATAAATAGGAACAGGTGCAACAGTGCTAGTTCAGATGTATTATGCATGAATACAAGGGAAGGGGAACGATGAATAACAGGAAATAACTTTACACCGGGTTCATATAATGTAGAAGTATCAATATTTAAAAATAATTGTCAAATTTCAATTGAATAAATCGATTTGTATGTTGTATACTTGTATGCTTTTACATTGTGTTTTGCTCCTATTTTTTTATACAAAAAGAATGGAATGAATGAAATCTCAATGAATCTATCAATTAGAAGGGCTTCTTAAGGTACTTAAAATCCAGGGATGAATCGACACATTCTGCTCTGCTTCTATAAGCATTCAACAGTTTCAACAATTCAGTGACCTTCTCCTTCATGCTTTCTTCACAGCCCACCTGCAACAAAAGCAGGAGCTTCTGAAAAGCCCCAAGTTGAACAGTTTCAACTAGAACCTCTTCATCTTCCTTGTCACAGAGCTTCCAGAGAATGGATACTGAAAACTCAGTGGCCAACGCTGATACCCTTAGAATCTTCTTAGTTGCAAGAGGCAAGGCTAGAGCATTAGCCATGGCCGCTTCCTTTCCTTCTTTGCAATCACAAAGACAATCCAAAACACCCAAAGCCTTCTCACATATACTTTTGTCTGCATCAACAATGGCCTCCAGCAATAAAGAAACCAAACCCAGTTCCACAAATCTCTGTGAGATTCTCTCTTTGTCATCTGACGAGGAAACCAACTGGAAAATCTTGGTCAAGCTTGCTTTGGTTGCATTAGGTCCTATAGGCTCTCTAATCATCTTGACCAAAGCTTCAATCACACCTTCAGCTTTAGCTAGAGCTCTCACAGGCATTTCCTTGAGCACCATGGCTGCATTTTGTCTTGCTGAAAGGTCGTTCCCATTCAGAAACCAAACCAAGCAATTCAAAGATGCCTCAGACCTCAATTTCGATCTGGCATCTTCTTGAGATGGATTCATCATCCATGGGAGCACTCCCAAGATCTCATCCAGAGCAACCTCGTTTTCCTCGATGGCCCCACGCGAGAAAGAATCAAAGGCAGAGGCTAACACTGCACAAGCACCATTTTCTACTATACACCTCTTGTTCCTCTCGCTTTCTTTACCCCAATTCTTAATTTTCCCCACCAATTCTTGACAGGTTTTGACATCCCCATTACGAGTGGCGACAATTATCCTCGAACAAGTCTCCGAAACCTCGTACGGCGCGACCGGGATCCTCGGAGTGGGAATTCTTTCGATCCCGTAAGACTGGTTCTCGACGCACCAGTGCTGAATCATTTTCCGAATGGAGTGATTTGGGATCATGTGAGTGCTGGAAAGAACCTGCTTGGTCACGGGGCAAGTGTTGTTCCCAGATTCAATCCACCTCTCGATGCTGTCTCTGTCGTAGGTTATTCCAGTGCACAGCGTCACCGGATCTTTCATCAGTTCAAGGCTCACCGGGCACCGGAAATGCGTCGGAATCACAGGTTCCAAGTCGAGTTCACCGCCGGGAAGGCCTCTCTCTTTGCGGGCGCGTCTGAAAACTTTCCTTAGAGTCCCTGACAAAACCATGCTTGTACTACCTTCAAGAACTGAAACTAATCAACCAGTCTTCGTGAATATTGCTGTCCGTTCGTTAGTGTATGCGTTGAATATTTAAGATTGCGAATTGAAGTTCTGAACCGTGATACGAAGCTGAGTGAAATGGGGGTATTTATAGGGAGAAGACGACTGAGTCAGCCATATGCCACGCGGGTCAAAGCGGTGATAGGTAGGAACAAGATTAATCAATAGATATGCATACAATAATAATAGTATAATGAAAGGACGAAGAGAAAGGTTCAAACTTGGTAAAGAAACAAGAAAGGGGAGATTAATTAAAGTGTTGTTTATTATGTAGGTAAGGTGGGGAAGCGGAAGGAGAGAGAATGGACGTGTTGAATGTTGACCGTTGAAGGATTCAAAATTTAAATTTCTTTTTTTTTTTTAGCTGTAAAAGAAAAAAACAGTAGGGTTAGGATTGGCGCGAGCCGACATCAGGGTGGTGAGATGGTTTGCTGAGTCGGACGGAGTCAAGAGAAGCGTGTGCCCGCGGGGCAGCGTCGGTCCGTGTGGCACCAACTGGTATTGGTCATTGGACTTGGGATTTTTTAACTATTACTCCCTCCGTTTCTTATTATAAGAGACAAATAACCAAATTACGTTGATCAAAAAAATAGTTAAATTTAGTTGAGGACAATTAATATGTCAAAAGTATAATATTTTTTCAACAATGCCCCCATTAATAAGGAGAAAGAGTATGAGAGAGAACAATTAAATTATTAAAAGAAAGAGAAGTGGGAGGGAGGGAGAGTATGAGTTAGAGACAAAATAAATAGGGGTAAAATAGGAAATCAATACAAAAAAATAGATATAACTTTTAAGTGTCTCTTATATATTGGAACATGCCATGAGCATCAAATGTCTCTTATAATAAGGAACAGAGGGAGTACCTTCTTAATTCTTAATATTTAATTAATTTAATTAAATTAAAAATTTTAGATAAATTAATTAATTATAAAAAAATATAGTATAATTTTTTTAAAATACTATAATTATTTTTTAATATTTTTTTCCTCTCCTACGTAATATAGTTGAGAGAGTATTAATGAGAATAATTTTTAAAAAAATAAATCTAAATCTAAATCAATTCAATAATTAAGTACAAGATGAGTAGTATTTAGGCCTTAATTAAATTTGTAGGTTTGTTAAAGCTAGATTCGATGCTCATCCAATGAACAAAGACACTGTAATTTTTTGAGATTCTACAGTTAAGTTAGGATGAAAAAAATACGGTCTTAAAAGCTTCAACATGTATTCGCGAGAGCTACAGTACGTTCCTAACAACCGGATTAAACTTTAGTAACATGAAATAATAAAAGGTCAAGGTGCATATATCATCCTATTTTTTATGACAATGTATTACAAATAATATTAAAATTACAATGCTAGATGCATACAGAAAATAAAATTAAGATGCTGAATACACGAAAATAATACCAAGATGCTAGGTACTATTTTATTCAATAATAAAACAAAAGGAAACAAACAGAAAGAAAGTCTGAATTTGTATAGAAAAATAATGAAGAACAATATAATTCATTCTGGCGAATTGTCATAAAATATATTGTGTTATCAAGTTTTCTTAGAATCATACATGATACATATTAGAGAATATTTAGAAAATAACAAAAAAAATACCTGTTAAATTTTAAAGTAATAAATAAGTAATTTTAATAGATTTTGACTTATCAAAATTATTACAAAAGTAGTTAAAATTATTACAAGAGTAGTTAGTATGACCTATTTATCTTTTTGAAATTCAATAAGTATTTTTCCGTTATTTTTTTAACTTAATAGGTTTGATTATTAAAAAAAAATGTTTTTTAAGAAAACACAAAATATATTAGGATATTAAATGCGCGTTAACTCATTAAAATATGAAAATATAACTTATTTGAGTAACTAATGTTCAAATAGAATTTTAGAATTTAACATGTGTATAATTAAATTTAAATTGAAGCTACTCCTCCGGTCCTTATTATAAGACCCCATTTGACTTTTTATTTGGTTCTAATTATAAGACCCCAATCCATTTTCTCTCTTATATTTATGCATTTTTTCCAAGATAATCCTTCTAATAATGATAGTTTTAGCCAATATACTTAATTAGCAAGAATATTTTAGGAATGACAACACTTATTTATTATAAATAACCAACTTAACTTACTTCCTTAATCTCCTCAAATAAGTCAATTGGGTCTTATATTTAGGATCGGAGGAGTAATATATTTCGAACATGAATTTTTGAAAAAAGTTCTTAGTATGATTTGCACTTCTATGAAAAAAGTAACAGAGTGCTTGCATTCAAAGTAGGGGATTGTATACCGTGTTTGTTGGCAGGGAAAAAAAGAGACTATATATTATATTCTCTTTTGTTTTTTTCTACCAACAACCATATATTTTATTCTCGTGTTCAGATTCCTGCAAATTATTCCTGGAGGGTTTGCTATAGTCATAAACTCGTGTGAACTTCTCAGAGATTTTATATTGAGTATTCATTGGATTCCTTTTTACTAAATTATCATGAATTTTAGGAGTCAGTAACGAATAATTAATTAGTAGTAGAAAATGTGTTAATTACCATGTTACTCTCCTTCCTTTTTATAAGGAATAAAAAGCTATTTTATCAAGACAAAATAAAATAGGTAAAATTAGCTACAAGCTATAAGTATCAAGTATGTCATAAATATAACTTTACTTTTAAAAATACCCTTAGTTGTTTAATGATAATCCTAAAAAAACTGATTAGTGGCTTCTTAATGAGAGATAACCTCTTAATATTATTTTTCATACTTCATAACATTTATCAATTTTATATTTCAATAATGCATTAATTTTTTTTATTTTCTGTTTTGTTTATTGTTCATTTTGTACTCTAGAAATGTATTAAATTAGGAGTAGAAGACTAAAGACATTTTAGGAAAGAAGGAGAATAATTATTCAACGATTTTTTTCAAGTCTCCGTAAAAATTATTTTTTGTCACAAATAATATGAAATGGAGGGAGTAATATATATTTGGGAAAATTAGTTTCCAGTCCTTATAGTTTGCACAAGCTTTGAATTAGGTTCTTGGATTTTTTTTTTCTTTTTTATGAGGTCCTTTAAGTTTACTCTGTAAGGTTTGTTAGTCCTTTATCTTCAAAACTGTTAAATAAGTGATAACAGTGTTAAATATTCCGTTAGATCAATCGGAGGTGACATCTCCTGAGAGTGATGTGGGAAAAAAATATGCTTGTGTTAAATACAAAGACTATCAAATAGCAGAATACCAGAACGAAGAAAGAGGAAACAAGGGCAAGAATGAAGTGCTCGAATCTCGAAAGCATAACACCCCATCAAACCTAAAATTGATTCCTTTCTAGATTCTATGAAACTAAAGTTCATGAAAATAGGAAGCTAAAATCTGAAACTGGAATCTTTGTATGCGAATCTAAAACCATCGAACCTTGGGTTCAGCAACATCTGCATCTCATTCTGTCAAATTTGTAGTTTCTCAACCCAGCCTTGAAGTTTTGTCCCTATCGTATCCTAGCTATTGTGTCTTGAAATATGGCCAAACTTTTTAAAAGGATTTGTGTTCTAGAGGGGGTTAACGGCAGCTGAACCTTGAAGGCTTGAACAATGAACAGGTTCTTTGTTTTCGTTTTTATTGTTGATGACATAATATAATCGCCGTCTAAGAATGATTTTTGTGGGTGCATCATATATTTTGAATCTATGGGGATTTCGGACTTAATTTCTAATACTACCTCCGGTCCTTAATATAAGATCTCGTTTGACTTTTATTTTGGTCCTAAATATAAGACCCCAATCTACTTTGTCTCTCATATTTATACATTTTTTTTCTAAAGTAGCCTTCTAACAATAATAGTTCTAGTCAATACACTCGATTAATAAGGATATTTTAGGAAAGACAACACATATTTAGGACAAATAACTAACTCAACTTACTTTCTTAATCTCCTCAAATTAGTCAACTGGCTTTTATAATTAGACCGGGGAAGTATTTTGTAATTTGCTGAAGCTCCTTGACAACACTGAAGCTCAATGGAATAAAGAGAAGACGATGCTCTAGTGTGTGTGGCTTCTTCGATGCAGGATTTTTTTTTTCCCAGACACTAATTACTTCCACCTGGATTTTTAGTCAAAGTCCACTTGTAAAATATTGCCAGCTATTTGCCACCTCAAATTGATCTAACAGAAATTTAAACACCGTCACTACTTATTTAACAGCTTTTGAGATGAGGGACGGAAGGAACTACCAAAGTAAACTCAAAGGACCCCATAAAAAAGAAAAAAAATTCAGGGACCTGTTTCAAAACTCATGCAAACTATAGAGACTGGGAAATTACTTTTCCCTATATATTTTAACTAAAACTTTGGACTTTAAAAACTTGCCGCGTAAAGATTTTTATAAATTAAATAGTGTGAGATCAACCTTGACCAATCAACGTTCACACTTCTATGGGATAAGAATTATGACCTTCCGTAGGGGGACAGCTTTTTTTTTTTTTTTTAACAATCTTTTTCACAGATGATTCAAATTAGACTAATTATAATTCTGTTGAATGTTGAAAATTCATTTATTGACTTTTTCTCGCGTTTTTTTTAAATAAAACATCAAATTTATTCAAACGGGAATAAAAAAAATTACATAAAAACAACCCAATTACATTTGATTAATTTGAGCAAAGTCTAAATGAATCAACAAAAAAAAATCGGCCTAACACAAGTGAAATAAAAAAGCAAAACAAACCAATAACAAAGACAAACGAAAAACTAATATCAGGAGAACCAAAAAAGACAAACATCATATAAATTAAAGCAAGTCTGATATAAAATTATAATTTTAAAAGTGCTTTTATAATATACAAAATAAATATGTGAAGGAGTTTATCTTGATTTATAAAAAAATATTTTTTAAAAATACTTTTAAAGTTTGGCAAACACCTCGAGTTTGATTGCATTCCCTAGTTCTTACTAATAAATTTGAGACAGCCCAAAACTTAAGCCTCTTGCTGCTGCACCAACCATTTCTCTTCCATGACCCTTAAGAGTGCCCACAAATTAACT